TTTACGGATGCACACAATCTCTTTATATGTATAAAGAGTGAACAAAATAGCAACAAGAGATTCCGTAGACACCCATACTCTAAACATTAAGAGCTAAAAATTCTTCATACCGGATCGACCATGGCCGAAGTAACTCTACCTCATTATGAACATCATACTCTATGATATACGACACAAGAAGTATAATAGTTGAGATAGATACAACTCCTCACACATTACAAAGAACTCTCACAATAAATGATTACAAAAAGTCACTACTAATCCTGTCAAGAGGATACATCCACATCAAAGATAGACTCTCATATATAAAGGTTAACATGACAAGTATGATATATTTTATCTTTTACACCTTACATGCATACAAACACTATATTTTTTTTCAAATATGATATAAAACTTTTTTTTTTCAAATATGGCAAAAAAGCATACTATGAAGCCTATTTAGGCTATACTCATAAAAAATACATTATTAACCCTAACCAGAGTCAAATAATTATCTTTTCATACTAATTTAGCTATTAGAGGATTCTTCAAAATTTCAAGACAAAGACAAATTTCTATCACATGAAAAACTAAAGAAAAACAACATCTAATCGTTCAAACAATCTAAATAATCCTAACCTCATTGTAACCAACCAACCAACTAGCCACGCTTTACCACCGATAATTTAAAAATATAGAGATATAAGACTTACTCAATGGATAGTTTTTATTATCTACATAACCAAATCTTTTAACTTGCTTTACGGACGCACACAATCTCTTTATATGTATAAAGAGTGAACAAATTAGCAACAAGAGACTCTGTATACACTCATACTCCAAACATTAGGAGTTACGATGATCCTCTTAGATAGGACATGATTTTAGTAGCTAGGATTTTATTTTAGTGAAAAAGATGGTCTATCATCATATTTTTCACATTAGGAAATTTATAATAGCACATAGTTATTTAAGGCTTTTCCTTGTACCATTAACTCTTAATATGTAGTAAAGCTTAATATTAATAATATCAGTACTGTTTCTACGTTAATTCTTAAATAAATGATTGGATTTATTTAATTATTTTTTATCCTATCTTTCATTCACATGCATCTTAAGTGACCAATAACTTTGATCTCATTCTCGATTACAAGTTAAATTTCTTACGTATTCTATGTATTTTGTAAGTATATTGAACACTTAATCATGCGTGCAAATATATAACGTGAACAACTAATGCGATGATGAGTTTTAAGGATCAATCCTTTAAAGAATCGTACAATACCTTAAAATGATTAATTTGAATATCCAAATGTTCTGAGAATTTTTACTCTAATTTACGGTAACAATGAATCCAAATGTGAATGACAAAACCAAATAAATGAATGGAAACATAAAGTAATAACTTTATCTAACAATCCACTTGGTTAATTGATTCTTATTTTTATTACATCATCACTGACACAATTGTCAAACCAACACACTAATATATTGAATAACTTCTTCCAAACTGTTAGAAAATATATTTAATTAAATCAAAACTTCATATTATCGAACGAATCAATTCAAAAGAACTTATTAAGATCAAGCATCAACCATGTATTGCTACCTTATATGAATGTAACTTTATTCAATAGCATATTTTCAAATTATCTTTTCTAAGAATCATTAAACAATCTCAATTCGTCCAATGGTTGATAAAAAAAATTACAAACATTAAATATAGAATGAAGTAAATAATGCAAAAAGCAATAATAATAATAATTAAGAATCAAGAAATTAAACAAGTTTTATATTTTGGATCCATTACAATTCTGGAAAAATAATTGGTTCATATCTAATATATTAAAGCCCGTGAGCATAAAATAGATACAGATTAAAAATTAAAATAAAATCACCAATGACACTTATGATTCTTAGAAATTCACTGACAATTGTAAAAGTTTTGACAATATTGCAAACCATCGCTACTCAAAAACTTGCTGCACCAAAAAGTACCCTTTGCTACCGGCTGTCTCCTCTTTTTTCTACAAAAACCCTTTTCAATTTGTTCGACCCGTCACTTGTGGTCCAATTTTCTCCGAGATGCAAACAAATCTAGACCGAGATTAAAACACATGAACTGTAGCTTCTCTCTTAACTTTTACTTGCCTTATTTCTTAACTTCATGAATTGTAGCCTTATCTCTAAATTTTAATTTGCTGCAAAAATCGCATAAATTAAACATATTTATAAAATAGTCGAGTATGTTCAAATCAAGAAATTTTTCCTTCTTTCTGAATTTTTTTATGCCTTTCCATCCACTTACACAAATCTTTTTTAAATTATCATACAAGATAAATTTACAGTATTAAATAAAATATCAAACAATATGATGAAAAATTAACATTAAAAGCTTTTTCAAGTCGGACTTGCAAAGCCTAAACCACAAGATGATAATCAATTTTGAAAATTGATTATGCCAAAAAAAATCTAATTACCATGAACTTTAAATTATTTGAGGTTGAGTTCTTAAACCTTTTTATTAGTTTTAAGAATTCTTAAACTTTTAATTTTTTTCAGATTTAGCACATCCTTCGATCTTCTATCATTTATCTTAAAAAATAACAATCACATAAATAATTTCATGATAAAAATTATTTATTGAGATTTATGTATGACTTTTCAAAAAATTTGAGATTATTTAGGAATTACCTTTTTTTCTCAATTTTTTATATTTTTAATGTTCAAAAAATAAAAAAATATATAGTTTCAAATTTTAAAAAATTCTGAAAATTTTCTATAAAATAGACTGAATTTTTTCTGATATGTGAGCAAAATTTCAGCTCAAATTATCAGTAATTGAATATTTTAGAGAAAAAAATTATAGCTAAAAATCATTAGATATACTAAATTTCAAAAAACAAAAAATTCAGAAATCCCTAAAGCTAATAAAAAAATCCAGAAACTTAATCTCAAATAATTTAAAATTTAGAAGTTTTAGCCAAATGATTATCTTTGAACATGATCAACATTATTTAACACGGATTGATTCTAGCACTTCACGCGAAGCTGGAGGCTGGGCATAGTGTGAAATATTAGGACATTGTTTGGACTGATTAAAAGATATATGAGCTGAGCGCTTGTGAGTCTGCATCCATAAGACGCAGATGGAATCCTTCTCCCAAACACGACGCTTATCACATAAAATATGAGTAAATTATAAATTAGTTCCTCTTGTTTTGTACAACAAATTAAATAATCCCTTTTATTTCAAAAATAATTAATTAATCTTATAAGTAGCGTTGATTATGATTAATTCAATATTTTGTTTCAAATTTCTTTTTTTTTTTTTGTCAATCCTTTCATATATTTCTTTCATTTTCTGTTTCTCAAACAAATCAAAATAAAATAAATTATATATATAATTATATAATTTAAAAACATAAAACAGACAAATTAGTTTTTAAAACTATAGAAATTATTTAATTTATTTTAAAAAGCAGAGAAATTAATTTATAATTTACTTCTAAAATATCTTTTGTATCAGTGGAGATGGGCATTCCTAAGCCTCGGAAATGCAGGTACAATTTGCCGATGGTGGCAAAGCAGGTCAAATGCTTAAACATAAGAAAATCTCATGAAAAACAAACAAACAAGGAAAAAACGCATGGGAGAGCATAGAGTAGCTCAATCGTAATCAATAATTTTATCACATTTTGGCGATGTCTTATATAAATCGTGTTAAAAGTGTCGTATGAGAATGGTAATCCCGTAAGTATGGGAGTAAAGAGGTTGGTTCACGCTAGATGCCACAGAACAAAATGGTGTGGAAAGTGGATGATTTGATTGGCAATTCGGAGGCATAAACCGACTTATGAATGAACAAGTCACCACCTTCACCTTGATTTCCAATCCCCAAATTGATAAAATTAATCAGAAGATTCCAAGATGGGACATTGTCGGGATCATCGAACGGACGGGAGCAAAGAGTGATGTATGAATCCACACACGATTTTCCTTTTTCTCTAAAAAAAAGAAAGAAATCAATGAATCCGTCCATTGGATCTATCTGACCTATACTGACGTGTCGTCCTCTCATCCGTCCCTTTCTCTTACTATTATTTTTAAGCATTTCCCTCTCCCTTCATTTCGCATTCCTTTCTCTCCTTCAATCAATCAATCACTCATTACAGAAAAACACACACCATTTCAGCTCTCTCTCCAACTCTCTCTCTCGCCATTATTACAGTTTTTTTTTTTGGTGTCCGATATTTCGGGCTTGCTCTGTTAAAGCGGGATCAGAGTACAATCATAAGTCCGATATTTCCGGTCGGTAAAAATATCCAAAAATCTCTGTTCGTTCGAACAACACAACGCAATCTTCGGTCCTTCGATTTCTTTGCCGCCTTTTCATTTCTTTCTGTTTTTCTTTTCCCCTCTTTTCGAAGAAAAAGGATCTCTGATATATAGGAAGAGGCTGCCTTTTAAGGCCGTGTTTGGATCCTCCTCTTTTACTGCTCCTACTGTTATATACTGCAATTTTCATGGCTGCTCATTCTCAAAAACAACAGCAACAGCAACAACAATCTCGTAAACGTAATCCTCTCTCTCTATACGTGTGTGTATTGTGTTATCTGTTGGATTATGATTGAGTTATGAGTTGTAACTTTCATTAATCCTGATGGCAAAGAAAAAATTTAAACGAGTTCGCCAATTTGATGTGCTTGAAATTTTTTTGTTTGTTTGGTTTCTGTTATTTGGTTGTTTTTGAATTTTTTTTAATAAAAGACTGATTTAATACAGCAATATTTGGCCTGATGGATATTAACAGCTTATTTATAGTGTGTTTCTTTTGTGTTCAATAATTGTTCAGATCTGAATACATTTTTGCTCTTCATATTTAAATTTCTATTGCTAATATATTTGTTTGTTATATAATTGTTGTTGTCTTGTGGTTAATTTTTTTTTTTTTTGACTTGTTTCTTGCCTCTTTTTTTTTCCTTAAAAAAAAATTCTGATAATCAGCTATTGAAGAAATGATGAGGAATCTTAAGGTTGATCCTCCTCCTCTAGAACTCTCGGATTCTAATATGGTAATTTAGTCTCTATTTCCTCTTCGTTGTTTCCATTGATTGAATTTGAATTCTATGTATAATGATCGAATCATGAATTTATGAATCTGGGTTTTGTTACTTTAGGTGCCTTCAAAGGATGGAAGCCCATCTGATGCAACATCGTGTGTTTCGTCCGCAGGAGATGCAGCTGGAAGTGTCAAAGAAGGTGACGTGGATCATGATTCCCTGACAACGGATCAGGCCTTGCTTTATCCAGCTGGGAGCTACTATGGATATTACTATCCAGGTTTGTTTCAGCAGATCAAGCACAATCAATTGTTTTTGTTTCTGTATATCTATTGATTATGTATATATGTTCTCACTTCTTACAGTAGCTTTTTACCAGGTTATGATGGTCCTTTTGGAGGGTCTAATGACCAAGTATACTACGTGGCTAGTGATGGAACCGAGCTTCAATACCCTGTAAGAAATTCTAATCTTTGAACTAGTGATTAATGATATGGAAGTTATCATTTCTTTTCTTCTTTAATTTGCTAACCTGATGGTCATGGTCGAGGTAGTTGTCTGAATTTTGGAAACTTTTTTAGCATAAAAAGTTCAATTTCAATGGCAACAAATGTGTCATTTGTGTGATTTTATCAAATCATGCAAATAGGTTTTCTGACATTCATTTATGCTTCATCTAGGTTATGCAAGCAGATAATGGGTCTTTGATCTACTTCATGCCAGGGATACAACCTACTTACAGCCCTTATGTGCCTGTAAGCATGATTGGCGCTGATGGACAATTTGTTGCTCAACCACCATATTCACCAAGCTCCATGTTCCAACCATCCATTCCTTCCCCTGGCTATATTCCAACTCCTCTTTCATATGGAGAGTCTTTGCCATACCTATGGGATCCGTCTGTTTTAGCTGGGGAAGGAACATATGGGAATGGCTATGGTGGAATTCTGGATATTCCTAGCACTAAACTTAACATGTCTTCACCTAGTCACACTCGTTGTCATCCATCAAAAAGGGCAGTGCCTTCAGACTCAAGCAAATCTTTGGAAACTAAGACCTCCCTTCCAACATTGGATGTCTCATCTGGTCATGGCATGCGTAACCAGTTAAAAACAGTGGGCAAGGTATTCAGTCCTTTACATTTTGTACTGTGTCCTCTTGTTTTTTTCTTTTGATGTTGTTTTAATGATCCTTTTCCCGCTACTTTCAGGCTTCACAGCATCTCTCTCCATTCCAGTCAGATGTACTGGGCAAAGGGTATTTTCCATTTGCAAAGTTTCCACCATATACTCTGGGGAAGGGTGCAATGCTCTATCCGAATAACACTACTAAAGCAAATGCAAGGGGTTGGGTAAGCAATGAAAAGCTAAAAACAAGAAGCAAGACTTATGGAATCAATGATGCATTGCTTAATGAGCAGAATTACGGTCCCAGGACAACCAATGCAAAAGGTTCTGTGGCATTTGGAGGTAATGCCGCTGGATCTTTGGCTTCTGATGGGAATGGAAACAGTAACAGCATAACTTCAGTTATTAGCAGGGATCAATATAACCTTCCTGACTTTTCAACCAAATACGATCATGCATTTTTCTTTGTTATCAAATCTTACAGTGAAGATGACATTCATAAAAGCATCAAGTACAATGTGTGGGCCAGTACTCCTAATGGAAATAAGAGGCTGGATAGTGCTTATCAAGATGCACAACAGAAGATAACTGAGAAAGGCAGCAGTTGTCCTGTGTTCCTTTTCTTTTCAGTATGCACCTGAATTTCATAATAATTTTGTTCCCTTAGTTTCAGGCACATCCTGCCGTGCTCCATATTTTTTTCCTTGTTAATGTACTATCGCATTTCTATTTGAATTTTTCCTGTTTCAGGTAAATGCAAGCGGCCAGTTCTGTGGAGTTGCAGAGATGATTGGCCACGTTGATTTCAATAAAAGCATGGATTTCTGGCAACAGGACAAGTGGAATGGTTACTTCCCAGTCAAGTGGCATATCATTAAAGATGTTCCAAACCCACAACTTCGGCATATAATACTTGAGAATAATGAGAACAAGCCTGTAACTAATAGCAGAGACACACAGGAGGTGTGCTTGACTATCCATTTATTCAATGTTGGTCTTTTGTTTGTTTTGTGCTCCCTATGAACCAATTGTAATTATCTCCCATTTCCAGGTCAAATTTCCTCAAGGTATAGAAATTCTGAACATATTCAAGAACCATGTTTCAAAGACATCAATTTTGGATGACTTCGATTTTTATGAAAGTCGCCAGAAGGTGATGCAAGAGAAAAGACCAAGGCCATGGATACCCCATTTTGATCACAAACAGGTTAGCTTCATACCGTTCTTCCTTTTTCTTGTTATATAGTTCTCTCATTTGTTTTTTTTTCCCTTCAAAACTTTATCGATTGTTTTGGTGAGTGCTTTCAATAGTGGACCATCTTGTCATCATTATCTTTGGAGGATTGAGAATCATATTTGCTGTCAGAATCAATGGCTAATAGCGTGAAGTTGTTGATCTTAAGATTCTCTATTTGGTTCTCTTCTCATAAAATAATAAAGAATAAAGAGGGGTTCTCCATACAACAAAGTAGTGGAGAATGTCATGCCATTAAAGATCTGGAGTTGGGATTTGACTTTATTTTGTTCTTAAAAAAGTTTTGTGATCATGATAAGTTTTTCGTTTTTCTTGTAAGTTCTCCTTTAGACATGCATACGTTATATCTTGTCTATTATTATAACATGATTTTTTTTTTCATTTGATCTGATGGTGGTTTATTCATTTCATGATTTCCTTATTTGTTTGGGCAGCAGAAACCAAATGAATTGATCGCTGGTTTTCAGTCGTTAGATATATCTGCTACGAAAAAAAGGTGGATACTCAGGTCGCAGACAATACGAAAGAATGATTGAAAAGAAGCCTCGATAAACCCTGTTCCTAAACACAGCGGTTGCATTTGGAGCTGTGGAAATACAGCCCAATGCTGCTCATGCAAATGCCAACTGAATGGGGAAAGTTCAGGGAAAAAAAAAAAAAACAAAGATCCTTTGTTGTGATTTACCGAGAGTAGATTTTTTCAGGTGGTCTTGGCTACAATCGAAGTGGTTCCTTTTCTGTACAATATGAGAAGCCCGGATCCTACTAAATGGAACGGCATTGGGGTATTATGTAGTTATTTGATTTTATGTTTTACTATTTGATATTTCCTCCTGTGTTTTTCTTTACTCTTTGTAAAATGGTCGAAATTCTTAATGTTGTTATGCCCTTGGGATTTGTTTCCCAAGCGCTAAAGGGTTGGGTAGGATTTTACTTAGGTTTGCTTCTTATATCACTAAAAAAGGGGGAAAAAAAAATTGAAACTGTGAACTACTAACTGTGTTTTTTATTGTGGTGAATTTTTCAAATTATATATTTCTTTTTCTAACCTTAACTTTGTTGATGAATTTTGAAATTCTTCCTGCACGGGTTTCCGATTCCATCGAGTGCACTTGGAAAAGGGGCCGAACCAACCATAAATGTTTGGAGTTCAGAAAAGGCGATCACGATACCCTTAATCTGGCGATTCTATGATGTCGTCATGAACTAACTACAAAAATCCTCCAAAAATTATTGCCATAGAAAAGGTTTTGCATATTTCCGCCTTGATTTACATTGTTACCATAAAAAGGTCAAAGCGAATGACACTATAACTACATATATATATATATATATATATATATATATATGCAAGTCCAGGTCTATCAACTATTTCAAGGGGCTAGAAAATTCATTAAAAAAAATAAAATAAACAGCTCTCCCCTCCCTCTCGGAACACGCAGTCTGTAGAAAGAAGCATATGATTCGTATCAGGATTCAATATAAAGGTTGCATTGCTAATAGAAGTCAATCTTGCAGAAGCATGTGTCATCTGTACGTCAAATTTTGACACAATTCCTAACTGGAGCAGTCAGCACTCAGCAGTAAACACTTCCATCACTCAGAAATTTTGAAAAGCCTTGGAACCTGTACTCCACAAAATGCAGATAACAAACCCTCCAAGCTGCTGACACTTACAAATTTATGGATGTAATGCAACTTGATCAGACATTTTATGATCTTGCTTCAGCCATTTGGGAAGTGATCTAATAATGAAAAAACTTCTCATTAACGAACAAGACCAGGAAAGGCACACTTACTATTCACTCAAAAATTTCCTATAGCTATGTGATTTGATAGTTCCCTTTCACTTCAGTCTGATGCACTGACCATATGCACTTGTTAAATAATTTCCCCAAAAAAGAAAAAGGTAGCACGCACAGGTTTAATAGAACCATGTACAATCTTAACCCTGTTGACTGGGAGGCTGTCCACGTCCACTTCGCCCACCACGTCCACCACGTACTACTCGACCCCGTAGAACTCTTCCACGGCCTCTAGTGTTTGGAGGAGAAAGCACTGCCGGAGCTCCACCTCCACTCTGTCTCAGCATTGCCTTCTGCCTAGCTCTCTCTGCTAAATTCACAACAGTAGAGGTGTTCCTTGCAGGTGATACCTGCCTAGCCTCCTCTGCAGGTGATACCTGTCTGGCCTCTTCTGCCTCTGCTCCACTTGAACTAGCTTGTTTTGAAGCATCTATTTCTGTGTTGGGAATAGCTGTTGTCGTCTCTACAGCGACTGAAGCAGCTTCAGGAATTTGATCAGTCTCTACAGCAATCTGATCATTACCATCATTTGACTTGTCGGAACCTTCACCAGTCTCTTCAACTATATCACCTTCATCATTCTTCTCATCATTGATCATCTCAGGAGAATTAATCTCACCTAACTCCACTCCTGCAGGAACTGAAGCTTCATCATCAATCCTGGCTGGTGAAGCCACAGGAGTAGTATCAGGAAGAGCCTCCCCAGTTTCTGGGCTCCCTGCCATGTTTAATGTATCAACACCTTCCTCAACTTCTGCTACTAGTTCTCCCTCTTCCCTCTCATTTTCAAACTCTATTGGCGATTGTTGGTTGTCTTCTGCAGCAACATGATCCTTTGAACCATCATAAATTTCCATTCCACTGTCACTTGGTTTATCCAAAATCTCTTCTGCAACATCATTTGTCTCATTCTCTGGCTCAACTTGACTTGTGTCATCTAATTGTTCAGAATCTTTTGGAGGTTCTGTTTTCTCCCCGGAGGTCTCAACCTCTTCCTTTTCAGCAGCAGCTTCCTCTTCACCTTGAGATAAATCAGCAACAGCAGATTCTTCCACCACTGGCAGAGTCACCTGAGTCTCTGATGGAGTGGCAGCTTGTCCTTCACCACCCTCTCGTGAGGAATCAGCACCTTTTGGTCTCTTTAAAACAGGTGGGGCAACATCGGAGCTAGCCTCTCCTTGATTAAGTGGCTGCTCATTCAACTCAGAACTATATGAAGCTAGGCGCTTGCGGGCCATTGGCTGAGTAACTGGCGTGACATTGCGCTGAGTTTCAGACTCGCTAGCTGGTGCAAGCTTTGCCACAGCACTAGATCCATCCACCTCCGACATCTCAACATCACTCGGAGGCTCTTCAGTTCTGACAAGCCGGGGCCTTACCAGCTTCCTCCCTGTCTTACGAGTTTCAACATTGGGTTTTTGTAAAGGAACTTTTCTCTCCTTTTCTTCTGCCATTTTAGTAGCCATGTGACTTGAAGGAGCTACTGAGGAAATGATGGTAGCCTGAGAAGGAGCTGCCTGACCTGCAGGGTAAAACCATAAGAGAGAAATGGTCAAACTGAAACCGGGGATAAGCAGGAAAGCCACTAGTCACCATAAATGTTAAAACCAAGCAGGCGATGGCAAACCAAAGAAGATGATTACCAGGAATGGCGGCTGCAGTAGCATCTGGAATAGAAGATATCTCAACTGATTGAGCACCAACCCCAAGTTCAGAGGATACAGAACGTGCCACCCTTTCAAAGTTATCAATAGCAGATACGTAGGTGGCAGCTAGATCATCCAAGATGGTTCCAGAAAGAAGCTGAACCACTGAGGTGCCCTGAAGTGAATTGAAGAAAGAAAAAATATTAAAAACGAATGCAAAAAGTTCTCAACCAATTAGAAAAAGAAAAGGAAGCTAGAACATGTAACCATTTTCATGGTGAAGGGAATTTATAAAATCTTTCACACACGCACGAACACATATTCAACGGGAAGCAAAACGATACGCTACTCTTGTCATGACCAGCTAGCACTCAGCAGCACAGAAAAAAACTGCAATCTCTCACTTCATTTCAAGGAATCAGGAATAATTTAGAAGCCCATTAGTTGCATGATTGCATCTCATGGTACATTGGTAAACAGAAAAATCACATGGAACTGATGAAAGCAGCACCTTCCATATTTCCATCAAACTCAACACTTGTATGATCAGGAAATAGGGATCAATTTATATACCTATATATACACACATATATAAAAATTCACCTCAGGAAGATCGCCTTCTGCGTGCTTGAGTTTTTCCAGTTCATCTGACACGCGCTTCAAAGCCTGCTTATGCACTTCAAGTTTATCCTTCAACATTGTCTTTGTCTGATATTTGTAAAAGAAAGGCATCAAGTCAAAGATAAAATCATGCTTTTGCTTACTAGTATAGTAGAGTATTGATGAATCATGATTACAGAGAACAAAATGGCCTTTTGAAAAATATTAGTGCAAACTGCAAGCATGCAGGTGAAAAGAAGTTTGTACTTTAGCGAGTTTTCCGGCCATTAATTTGAATAAAAATCACAGACATGTCCTACACGTTACTGATATCTAGAAGTTGTATTTTTTTGCTGTAAGTGCAAATTTATCACCCTATTAAGCTATCATTTCCTGAAGAACTTAATTGCAAAGTAAGAAAGTGTTAAGTCGAAAGATCACAAATAACCTGTTCAACATTTTTGTAGGAATCCAAAACAGTCTTCTCTGTACTCTGACGCTTTGCTTTCTCTGACCGAATATCCTCTTTCTCCCTTTTCAACTCCTCTCTCTGCCTCTCTACAGTTTTTTCCAGAATCTGGAAGATCATTACATGAAAAGTCAAAATCGAGCAGTGTGAAAATTGGAAGGAACAAAAAACGGTTGGTGGGTCTGAAAACCTGTATTCGGTGTTCTTTCTCCTCCTTTTCCTTCAAAACCTGTTCGCCAGTAACATTTCCCAGCAGCCTTTTACCTATTTGAAAAATTAAAGAATACAATTAGGCACAAATAATAGCCCGACAAAGATAACAGTTGCACGAGAATGGAAGTACCTCTTTTGAAGTCCTCGATCTGTTTGGTAAGTGCTTGTTTTTCTTTGCTAAATTCTTCCTTCTCCTTCGATAAGATTTCAGATTTTTTCTGCAATACAACAGAATGGTGCAACCATTTTATTGATCATAAAATGATTTCTTTTTTAACAGAAGTATTAATAGCGAACAGCAGAGTAATCCAAATAATGTTCATAATTCATAATTAAGTCAGGCTTCACAAGATGATTTTTTATGATTTCACCACCTTCCACTGAACAGACAGCTTCTTCTGCTTCTCCAACTCAGATCTTAGACCAGCCTGCATGTAAAACCATGATAACATTAGTAATGATTTGGGAATGTAAACAAAAAGATCTATAAGTAGTGCTACAAATCGTATTTCAGAGATCACTGTAAATAAACCTCTGTTTGCAAAATGTCATTTATCCTTTTCTCTCTATGATTCAATTCTGATTCGCTCTTGGCAAGGTCTTGCTCCAATTTCAATATTTTTTCCTGTTGTTCTGATACAAGGTTCTTAATTTCCTCAATCTCAGAATCCTTCTCTTTCAATTTTTCCTGTTCAGGAAGAAGTAGATACATAAGACACGATCACAAATGCAATGACATTGAAATTATAGAAAGAAAGCCAAGCGAGCAAGTTCGAACTGTCAGAAATGTGCTAAGAGGACTTAAAAAGTGACTTATATCTAGACCAAAGCATCAACACAGAACAATATACGCACATCTATTCCAAGAAATTAGATCACAAGCACAAATAGGCATCCCTCAAAAGCTGCCAGGCTACTCATATAACCATCATCCAGAAATGAAAAGCCAACTCTGTAGAATTCAATAGGGTCCAAGAGAAAGGAAAAAAGAAATAACAGAACCAACGATTCTTCTAATGATCCTATTTGACACAAGAATTAGGTAAACTTATACATGTGACTGATGAGACGGCCAGCACCTTCTCTTCTCTCAAAACTTTCTAAGAATAAGAATTAACAGGCATAGCTGATGGCCAAAGCAACCAGGCTGACTCTTAAAGCATCAGAAGTTCTAATCCAGAGCTAACATCTAAATCACCTCACCATAATTAAAATTGTGAAATGCAAGCCATCTTTTAATCGAAACCATTACAACAAAATCAATATTAAATGTTTCATATATTTGTCAGTAGATGCTGTGTCTCAATTAAACCCACGTTTGAAGAGCCATAAACAATACAAAATAAGCAAAAAATACTTTATTCACCTGCATATGTTGAAGATCATCCTTCATCCTAGTGTAATCTTCCACATCAATATTTCCACATCTCTCAAGTAGCTTTAAAAAGAATTACCATGTCAGAATACTTGAATGAAAAAAACTTGGCATCAAAAGCAAAGTAAAGTTGCAGTACCTCAGAAATTCTCTTTTCCAAGCGATCTTTCTCTACCTTGTCCATTTCAATTTCCTTCTTACAAGCTTCAACCTCAATTTGCTTCTCCCTCAATAGAGATTCTAGCTTGTCAGACTGCGCCTTAGCATTTTGTGCTACTTCACGCAATTTCTAACATTTTAGAAAAAAATATCAAATTAATGAAAGCAATCAATAAACTACATAAACAAAAAATATGGGAATTAATATGAAGATGCTAAGGATTATCAGCTCAACAAGTCCATCCTGAGCAATACCTGGCATTCCTCAAAATTGTGCTTGTTTTCCTCTCTCAGTTGCATGTTGCTTTCACGAAGCAAGTTCAATTCTCTAACCTGTAAAGGAATTTCAGAGATACTAGTTGAGGGAATTATGAATTAGAAATTAATGTGTCAAAATCGGAACCCTGCAATAGAAAAATGACTCTGTAAACAAATAAAGGCCTAAAAGGTTTGAGTTCTGAGGGGAACTGCTAAAACAAAGAGTAAAAGCAGACTCAAAATACATAAAATATTCATATTTCTATCTCTGGTTTCAATGATTCAACAAAAATGAAGTATTACCTGAAGTTGAAGGGATTTTACCTCCTCTTCTGAGAACAATAATGCCCTGGAATTTGTACGCTCAGCATGAAGGGAAGCCTGGGCATTTTCTGCTGCCTTCAGAGCACCATCGAGCTACAATTTTGAAAGCATAAATTTAATTCAAAACAGATTTGATTGGAGTAAAGGCACGTAGGAAGTAAAATACCTAGTGTTTTACCAATACCTTAGCTATGTATGCACAGAGAACAAATATTCGCATTATAATCCAAAATCTCCTAAATGAAATACTAATAGATAAGGCACTGAAGTCAAAACACTGACACGATTAGTGGAACTTATTGACAGCACAAACAACCAAATTTGTAAATTTTGCATTTTCCTACTTTGGTATGAACTTTGTCACTTGGGTTCCATAAATGATGTCATCAGAGTAAAACAGCCACTTCCTTCATTGATACGAGCACTGAAAAATACACGAGCATATTCCTAAAATACCTAGATGCATGAGTAAATGTCCCCCCCCCCCCCAAAAAAAAAAAGGAATAACATTACACTGGTCTCGTACAAATAGGGGTAGTACCTCTAACAATCATTATATGTTGTAACAGAAGGAGAAGAATATCAGCTCAATCAAGACAAGGATGACTGGTTGAGAAGACAAGATGCCTAGGACATAAATGGCTTAAAAAACAAAACTGTAGTTAACAAAATATTAACTAGCCTAGAGGTTCAGGATATCAATCCTATTCTTAGAGTGACGCATGTCTTGTTTGGATACCTACAGGATTAGTCTGTCTAGTCCCAAATGGTCCATTGTAAAAAGCAGATAAGTAAACAAGTGGTACCACCTACCACATTGGCCCAACAAATAAGGCAATTCCTTAATCACCAGCCACAACAGCAATTTCTTAAGTATAAGATAATCACATCTTTTTCTAACTACTAATCTGGTATGAAGCACAAACAAGCAAAAAGGTTGTACAACCCAAGCTGGGATTGTATAACATTGAAGCACCAAGATGAAAAAATAAGAAAATTTGCCCAAATTTTTTCAACAGCAATGGAAAATCAGCTAACATTTTATAACAAAAGATCACGTGTGCCTGATGCTGCACTATGTATTTTTCAGACCACAGCAATAACAAACGAAGAAACTGGAGAAGAAAAGTTAATATAGGCGTACTTGTGATTGCAATCGCAGCTTTTCCTGTTTTAACAAAGAAATCTCCGTTTCTGCCTGTTGATGTGATAGGAAGTTAGAGAAGTCTGCTCTGCTTCAGAGCAAGAGAATAATCATATACTTGAACTGAAAAGAAACTTACTATTTCCTTTGACCTTCGAAGATAGTTAACCACGTTCTGCAACCCAGAATCACTGCCTAATCCTGGAGCATTGCTTCCAGAAGAAATTCCAGCAGCATCTCGATCCTTCTCAGCCAATTGAATGTGAAGAGCCTCAAGTCGGCTATGCAACAATTTGTTCTATAGTATGATGATGGGGGCATAAATAAGTTACATGACAACAAGAACCATAAAATTATAGCATACACTGAGAACAGAAGACTCAACATCTTCCATAAGTTTTTATTTTTAGACAAGAATGGAGAAGTAAACATGAAAGCAATTATTTCTTTAAAAACTTTATAACAGCCATCATGCAAAATCGAAGTTACCACTGGCATTAAAATAAATCATAATTTATTATACTATAAACCAATTAACAATAATCTCACAGAGAAGTGGTCATACATTTCCTAATGGATAAAATTATTGATCATAAAGAAGACATAGATCAGAGCAATAGAAAATAAGCAAAGACCTGTTCATTCAGTTCATCATATTTCTTTTCAGCATGATTCTTTGATTCTTCAATCATTGATTTTTCCACCTCCCACTTAGACCTAAGCTCGTCCTGCAAATTATAAAGGCAGCCTGAGAAGATCAATTAAATTGTAAAAATTTTAAAAAGAAGCAAGAAAGTTGAAGGCACGATTGACTATCCCACACACCATAAAATGTTAATGCATAAATTCAACCACAGCTAGCAATCACATTATGCTGATTGAAAACTTACAATAGTCAGACAAGAAGCACTTCATTTAGAAACAATAAACAAAATCACAAGAAACTTTACAAAATTGCACAAACATAACTTCCTCAAGAGTATTTCAATTTCAACAATCAGTACTCTCTTGTGGCTCATTTAACAATTTTCCCTCTCTAATTCCGGGCCCCAGAACCTCTATGCCATCATTAAATTTAGCACAGAAAGCATACTGCACAATGAAGTCACACTCAACTCCAATCTGAAGCACCACACCATTGACAAAAATCAAAATGCTTCCATGAAATAAATATTGTTGCTCCATCTCTACAGTCATCATTTTGGCAACCAATGCAACACATTTATGACACACCACCCAACAAAGGTTGCGTGCACATCCTATTCCAAAAATTCAGATGCTACAATATCAAATCATGACACATAATAAACACTTTTTTTCTTTGCATTAAATGGTAAGTTACAGGGATATAATCCTCAAAAAGCTTTTCCTGCACTTGAGCCCAAAGCAGCTTAGATAAGTTACTTAAAACCAACTGATCTAGTAGACATCACTGCAACAATGAGTGAAGAGCTACGAGGTATCAAAAGCTTTAGGCTAACTGAAAAATCATGTAAAACAAAATTATCAGTAAAACAGCCAAAGAGGCACAATAAAGAATAGAAAGAATACATTTTCACTTTTTTGTGCATCTGCCAATTTACGAAGCTCAGATGCTTCTTCTTGTAGTGAGGCTAAAGCTTGTGATGCCTTTGTCAACTCTTGGATTGTCTCGGATTGAAGAATAACCTAGACAAATAAGGAAGTTAAAAAACACCAGTCAAAGAGAATTCAATCGGATGCATGCACCTGCTCATATTAGATATGGCTATTGTAAGAAAAAAAATTAAATGAAACCATTTGCCAAAAATTAAGAGTGCACAAATTAAACACAAATCCCAAATTCTACACTTCCAAGTGGGGACAGAACTCATATCATTTTAATGTGGAATCACAGAAATGACTTATCGATACAAACATCCTCTATTCCTAACATAATCAACCTGACAAAACTAAAAGATAAAGGAGCTTGGTTTCATTATGATACCTTGCTCTAACTTCATTCTTACTACTATCTAGTCTTATTCTGCTAACCTGAACCTGTTTTTTCTTTTTTCTTTTTTTTAACTCTGAACAAAGTCTCTGAAGGTTAGCCAAAGCACAAAAGACTTTTCAATAGTTAAATGAGAACCTGCCCTGAATAAAGCTAAATAGACAAAACAAAATTATCCAAAAAACGCTAAAGGGACAAAAGAAATTCCTACAGTTGATCTTGCTTTATAATATAGTAGATATATTGTACATGTCCCTTTTAAGCACAAGTTTAAATACTAATCAATAAGAATAAACCAAAAATTCAACCTGTCTTTCATAATTGGCTTGAGCAGCACGCCAACGTTCATGCTCCCTTTCCAAATCCTCTTTCAAATTAGAAATTTGAATCTCCAATGATACAATTCGAGAACTGCAGGCAAAGGCCTAATAAGAGAAACCTTAAAAACTATAAAGAATAACAAACCACAAATGTAATGGGGTATATCTCACGTTTTACTACAGCTTTCTTCCTTCAAAGAGTTAATTTCTGCCAAAGCAGAAGCTAAAGCCTCTTCTTTTCCCACAGCCGCAGAGGCTACCTCTTCAGACTTCATACTCAATTCATTGTTAAATTCTGAGATCCTCTCTCGCAGCGAAAGAAGTTCAGCTTCTAGTGATTCCTTTAATTTTTCTGACTGGTAGAAATTGGAAAAGCACAATGTTTAGAGGAGATGTATATGTGTGCTTAAATTGCACAGAAACTCAACTCTTAGGGCTCATGCAACAACGACATACCTCTTTCTTGAAACTTTCATGGGCATCTTCCATCTGCTTTAGAGCAGCTTCATTCACCTGTGCTATACTCTTATACTGCAATGAAATATGCAAGGTGTTCATATTATAAATATTGTGTTATCATGCAATACTGAGTGACTACGGGCACTATTACCTGTAGCATGTGCTCCTTGTTAGCCTGAGCTTCCTCTCTCAATTTTTGTATCTCCTCCTTCGCCATCAGCAAATCCGTAACAACCTTCCACAAATGTGAAAAAAAACAAATTTAATTTAAACAATGCTACAGAACTTATTTGATAAAAAATAAAGACCATATAACGTACATACCCCAACCATGATGGCACTGGGAACATAGAAATATCCAAATGAAATGATTGCACCATAAACTTATACTGGTATAGAGTAGTAACATCACATGCTAAAGCATAGTAAGTAATCCATTAAGCAACACTATAAACTTGTACAGTATATTGAAGTAGCCATGTTCATGCATAAACTTCATGTGACAATTGTATAGTTTACAAATCAAGTGCTATAAAATCAAACAAGGATATGATCATAATTGTATTCAAACTCTTTTTGACATTATACAACTGGTGTTTCATTTCTAGAATTGTTTATTGTTCCATGGATTCATAAAATAATCGAAAAAAAACAAGTAGCATATAAGAGAATTTTACATCAAAAAAATTGAAGCCATCCAAAAATTTACCAAAAGGGTGCTTGTGGAAATTTCGACCAGAACAAAATTAAGCAGACAATGATGTGTTTCAGTCCAAAGCTAACATAATCCTCTACAATCTTCTAACATGGAACGTGACAAACTATTAGCCATCAAGCAATCATGCACTAGCGCAGACAAAAAGTAGAATAGGAACTGCCAAAAATTAACACAACTGACCTCAGTAGCAGAAATAGAAGAGCCACTGTCTTTCATACCAGCAACCTGAATCAGTGTGAAGCACAAGGTGGAGGTAAGAAAAACAATTTGATTTAGAGGCATATCAAAAAAATGCAAAAATATAAAATAATACCACTGACAATCTTATTCAACCACATTTGATATCTCTTAGAATAAAACAAGAATATTTTATCGCGAGAGAGCAGATCATTGATCAGAGAATGAATGATCACAACCACATTTCAGAAAAGTGACAAATCAATGAAGAAATATTGTGTTTCAACAAAGATACTTTTAATAAAAAGCCCCCCAAAGAATGAAACAACTGGAATCTGTAGAAGGCATACCCTGGCATCTGAAACTTTCATCGTCTTCTCCAACTCAGAAAGTTTGGTCTAATAAATATCAAGAGAAGGGGCAATCACATGATGCTCCATTAGATTAAAGGAACCTCTTGAATATTTGAGCTTACAATACAGAAATGAAAAATCATTACTAAGACAGAACTGAGTTTAAAAGCAATAAATACCTCAGCAACAGCAGCCCTAGTTTCAGCAGCAGAAACAGCACGCAAAGTATGATTCAATTCCTTCCCCATGTCATCAATTTGCCTCATAGCATTCTTCAAAGTCTGTTCACGGTCAGATGTTAGAGCTCTGACATTGTCCCGCTCATGTTGCAGCTCTCTCTTGGCCTCAGCCCATTCCCTCTGAAAGAATAATATTTAAGAAAAGCATCCAGTTAAATATTATTCCCTCGCAAGATACAGATCTTTAAACTTACAACTAATTCATTGATAAGCTCCATAAAAATAAATGTGCATCAGTGTCTGTCAAATAGTGCCCCAACAAAGATTTAGCAGACAGCTTATGTTCACCCATCCCACATAAGATATGAGCAATGCCATTTCAAAATCAGAGAACTATGAAAGAAAAATTAGCAACCTGTGAGACAAAATCAAAGGGTCCAATTTTCAGGATTAAAAAACTGTTTTCCAGTAGGTTCTGCAAAAAGAATGAGCAAACCCATCTTCTGCAAAACAAATACCATAGGTCGATAGCAAATTAAACAAACCTCAATTTGTTTTAAATAATCCTCTTGCTTCCTCTTCTCAGCAGCTCTTGCTTCCTATAGTTTACAGGGGAAAAAATTCAGGTCACAATACTAAACCAATTATAACTAGAAAAAACACAACTTGGATCAACCAGGATGACCAACCTCACGAGCCTCCTCGGCACTCTGAATAGTGTCCAACGTAGCCTGCATGCATGGGGGGAGAGAGAGCGAGAGAGAGAGATTAGAACACACACATCACTTGTAAGATTAAGAAGTTAAATTGATGCTTTCCAGACAGACCTGAAGGCGACAAACCCTCTCCGACAAACTACGAACTTCATCACATGCTCTTCTTTCGGCATTTGACAGTATCTCTTTTTCATGCTTTAGAACAGAAACCTGTCAAGAAAGATCATGTACAGTATTATTCAAGATAATTCAATATTATCAGATCAACAATATCGGGGTGAAACAACCTGTACCTCCATATTTAACTTCCGAGAAAGTTCCTCAGATGCATGCAAATTTTCTGAACTTTCACGTAGCTTTCTTTGATGGTCAACTATCAACTGCGAAAACTCCACGTTTCTCGCTAAAACACCATTCATTTCATTTCTCTGTCAAGTAGAATATGCAATCAGAACTATGTAAAATAAAAACTTGGCATGTATACTGGTTAGGATAAATAGCATATCTAAAACAACCAGTATAGAGGAAGAACAGACAGTAAACTCTAAAAGTTTACCTGATGCTCAAATTCTTTCATATAACTATCAAGTCTCTCTCTTGCAAATTTAGCATCCAGAGCCAACTTGTCACGTTCTGATCGTAGTGACATAATATCGCTCCTAACAATGGAAAACATATGCGGAATAAAGTTGCAAGTAATACAAAAGGGCATAGCAGGTAGAAAATTGTAGAACTCACAAATGACACATGATATAAAGCATACACCTTTGGGGAGTTATTTCACAAAACCGATTGTTTCAACAAGTTCTATTGTTTTCCAAAGAAAGGGAGGAAGAGGAGGTTATGTAGGACAGCTTAGGGGGGCTGTTCTGGATCTAAGTTTAGAGGTGGTTTAGGTCTGTATTAATGTGGATTTCTGCTGGGAATTATAGAAATATTGGAGTCACACAAATGGGGTTTCTACGAGTCACGCCTAGAGGAAGGAAAAACCTAAGCTTCACACCTAGGGTTCTTAGGAGTAACGCCTTGAGGATGGAAAAACCTAAGCTTCACACCTAGGGTTCTTAGGAATCATACCAAGGGGAGATTGAGTCACGCAATCAAAAGCCAATTGCTGGAATTTTATTCATAATATTGAAAGGCTACATAAGTTCTAATAGTCCAAATCCAATAAGGACTTAGATTCCTAAATAAGAAAATACTAAGTCTGTAGAATAGGAAAAAATAATAATAAAGCTAATTTCTCCTTAGGACTATTTAACTACTAAATAGAAAATAAACCTAAACTTAGACAAATTTCCAGATTTTCCAGAAATTACAGAAATACTCGTCTACAAAAAGATACAAGCTTTGCTTCCTTGGTTGTTTGCATAAGGAGGAGAGAGAGAGAGTGTGTGACTTAAGCATGAGCAAAACGGGTGAGATAGACATATTGGCTTTTACATGATAATAAAGACTATTAATGAGGAAAACAGCAATATTGGCTCCTAAATAATGACAAAAATATCTGGTAAATACACTGAAATCCTGGACCCTCTAATATAAGCAAATGCCACATGAATAGGAAAGAATCAAAGAAAACATAAAACAGGCGTTATTGATGCAAATACATGCAGAAAAATCACAGTATGCACAACCAAAATAAAACTTTGGCAATTGATGCAAAATATGCAGAAAACTCCCAGTGTGCACAGCCAACAAAGAAACCCAGAATAGCAGGAAGGTGAAATTATGGCAATGTTAATTAACTGTAATTAACTGAGAAAGCGTCCCCTGTCAGCATTTTTCAGATCCATGCAAATGCTTTCATTTATAGGTAATAAGCATAAAAACAACAAAAGGGAAGCATACCATTGCAAACAAAATTTATCTTACAAACAAAAGTTCGTAGAAGAATAGGATAAGAACATTACTTGGATTTTGCCAAATCTTCTTCAAGAGATCTCAATCGCTCAGCGGCCTTTTCCTGGGCCTTCTTAGTAGCTTCCTGTATTTTAGTCGCATGGAATAATACATTTAGAAGTATGAATAACATGAAAATGGCAATCTTAAAAACCATCCTAAAAACTTCAATAGTAGCCATACCTGAGAACCTTCAAGCAGAAGTAAAAGGTTCTTTCTTCCATCCTCTTCAACTACATTGTCATACATTGAATCAATACATAAAAATCAGACAAACATTTGAACAGCACAATAACATTGCAGGAAAATAGATAAGGAAAGATCAAGTTCGAATGCATAAATATCATAGATTCAAACATTTCCATCATACAAACATTAATGTGTCCATTTAAGTAGTAATCATAACATATAATATTTTGTTTTCTGAAAGCAGGATATACCAGGAAAAACTGTTACAAGGAGCAGATATGACCAAAGTAGATACAATGTAACATGTTACGGAGCTCGAATCAAGAATAGATACAAGGTACTCAACAGAGATCAAACGTGGTATGATGGGTTGCCTTTTTCAAAACACTGTAATGAAACACGATAAATTGATCTATCTTTTCCTACCTTGTACAGATTATTAGATTACAATTTTGGGTGTTTGGTTTTGATCCTGTTGCTATTCCAGTTTATGTTTTGGAAAAGAGAAACAATTTATTTTCCATGGTCTGGAAAGAAAATTTCAGAATGCACCACACTTTTGACGTTCTCTCATAACTCCAAAATTTTGAAGGATAGAAACCCCTTTGTGGGAATCAAAATTGCAAAACCGACAAATGGCACAGGGATATGCACACATAAAACCATAAACATAGATGAAGTGAGGCTCAGTTGAATAAGTGGGATGCCTCCATCTCCTTTAATATTTTATAATCTTTCCATTTTATTATCCTCCAGCAAATCAATCTATGGTTTGTTGTTCCTAACTATGAGCCACACACACAAATGCACAGCAGTGAAGAACACAATGCAAAAGTCACTTGGGGCACAAAGTGCAAGCAAGTGCCTGGAAGAACTTAAAAACACATGTTTAAACGCAATGAAATTTTATTTTTCAAAAGAAGTATCAAAAACATACAACTTAAAATGTCAAAATAAAAAAGAACACTGAGTATTTTTAGCCAATTAGCTGGAAAAGATTATAATGCTGTGAAATTGAATGAATACTGCAACTTCAAAACCTGCTTAGGCCTTTTATGTTTCATAAAGTTTTACCACCAAACAAAAAAAAAAAAAAAAAGCAATTGTCAATCAGCTATAATTTACCCAAGCCCACATATACGCATGTGTATATCATTCTCTAATATTGCCCTACAGCTATATGCTCATGTTCCTAGTAGGATGTAAATGAAGACAAATGTATTGAATGCCTTTAAAAAAATATTTTGTCAACATGGATCACAGCAGCAAAAATATTAACAAAAAGACTTGGTCTTCTCATTATTTGAGATCCTATATCTGTATAAATAAATGCAAAATCTCCTACAAGAATAACGGAACAAGATAAGAGTTGCATGAGTCATCAATGGTGAAAAAGGTTGCTCAATAGGAAAAAATAGCCAAGCCACAAAATATATATATATATAATAAAGTGTGCTTCTGAGTGCAAAATGCTCTAAACAAATGGGAGAGCTTGAACAAGCAGGCAAACTGCAATGGCACTTTGCAATTTTTTGAGAAGCAGTTTTAACAATAATGTCCAACTGTTGGCTCTAATAAAGACAGCTACAGCACACTTCCTTTCAGAGAGATGTCGAACATGCAATAGAACATAAGATAAGACGGAAAACCTGGAGCTCCATCTGATGGGCGGGAATAAGATGAGCGAAGTTTATGTTCCTCTTCATACAACCTTTTGTACATTGCAACCTATGCACATGGGAAAGAAAACCGTGATATTACATGAAAAGAGAACAGAACTACAACTCAACCACAGAATGTTAGCCCTCATGACGCTTACAGAAGAATGAAGCGATTCAATCATGTGACCCTGCTCTTCAGCTCTTTGTAGCACCACAGCAACTTTAGAGGCAGCTTCATCAGTATGTTTTTTGAGTTCCACTTCAAACTTTTCCTGCAGTCCATGCACCATAAACTGTTTGTCAAATAGAGCTTTTTGTTGAAAAATAGAACCCCCAACTGCCTATATAAGCAACAGCTACATAGATTATGATTTTTCTGAGGTACCTTGAACTCTGTCTCTCTATTTTCAAGCTGATCTGAAAGATTACGCACAAGGCTCCTGAGCTGAACATTCTGCTCAACTAACCCGTTTATATCCTTGAAGGTCTGTTAAATAAAGTCCCAACCAAACGAGACATCAATGATTGGTCAGTTAAGTTTTGTCGAAAGAAAGATGTTCACATGGATGCATCTATTCAAGAAGAAAATGAAGAGGTGAGCTTACAAGGCGTTCCAAGATTGCATTTTCCGGATCAGACTCTAAGTCCATTCCAACAGGAGCAATTGCTGTACTATAATCAACTTGGTCATGCCCAGTAGATCCACAGTGAAGCTGTATATCACGACATTCCTTAAGAAGAACTGTCACCTATAACATCATCAACAAAGGTAAGGATGATTAGATGACAGCTTATGATGTAGGCATAGGAAAAAAAAATTGGAACAGCATTTCTTATAAACATTAAATGTGACATTAAAGAATAAAAGAAAAAACATACTGAAAACTCTTAAAAAGTCTCATCAAATTGCAGAACTAAGATGTCTTATTAAGTCTCATCAAATAGAAGAACTAAGATGAGAAGATAACAAGCTTTACAGAAAACTAATTAACGATAAAAGCAAAAAGGTCCTCATATCACTCACTACCTGTTTCTGAAGATCACCAATTTCCTTTTGAGCCAAACTGTAATCACGTTCATGCCTCCTCAAATCTGCCTGGAAAGCAAACGCATCGCCTGATCAGCAAAAAAAAAAAAAAAAAACAAACAAACTACATAACAGAGCTAAACAAGTTGCAACCCTTAAATTACCTTAAATTCTAGGATTGTTTTCTCCAGGTTTGCCTGTTCAGAAAATGAGTGCTGCAATTTTTCGTTGATGACAGAGTATGATTCTACCATTCTCTCATATTCCACTGCAGAACAGAAATTTCCATCAGCATAACAAAATTTTGAACTCCAAGAGAGAACATATCTGAATAGATTGATATTATCCAGCATTTGCTGTAATAATAACTTAAAAAGTAGAGACTAGCTTATGATATAGTTAGTACAAATTACAGATATTCAATCACCAGTTCAACCTTTGCTCAAGTGCCTTATCCATCTCCTAAATGGCACCAGCCTTGAGCATGTTAGAGCCACCCCTATGTATGTTAGTATGTCTTTAGAAGCTTCGTCTTTTCAAGAAATCATTCAAATGAATCAACTTCTTTATTGTTGCTAACCTATTTATACTAGCAAACTTATCTTAGACCAAAAGCATAAATGTGTTAACTAATCAAGAAAATCATGAAACTTCCATACATCTGAAAACAAATTAGGAAAAAATATATATAAAAAAAAGGGGGAGGGAATCCATTAATATATTAAAAAAAAAAAAAAAATGGGAGGGAATCCATTGACTTGAAATTAAATTTCTTAATTTGCAATTTAAACCTCTTTCGTCCAAAATTACTCCTGCTTTCTCCTCTAGTTCACATAAGACCTGCAAAAAGAAAACCAGCCAGCTTAAGATGTAAAGTTGATGTAAAAAGCTGCAGAACTTCGTAAGAAATAAATATTTCCCAACAAAACGAAAGACAAATCATAATCTGAGGAAACAATGAGCGGGCAGAGGGCAGGGGAAAGAAGGTTTAAAGAAAATGAGGAAAATCAATCTAAATTTGACACATTGTCAGTGGACCTGAACCCACCTTAGAAAATATGTACAAGAAAATGTAGAGCATACCCGTTGCAGTACTGCCTCAGATTCCTTCCTTCCCAATTGCTCATGGCGAAGAGCATCAACAGCTTCTTGGTACTTTGCATACATTTTTGCAAGCTAGTTGCCATGAAAAAGTGAAAATACAAATCAAAATTGGAGTAAATGTGTGTGTGTGTGTGTGTGTGTGTGTGTGTGTGTGTGTAGAGTGCTTGCATGTCTCCATTGAATAAGTACAATTGCTGCAACTCACACTCCAACCATCACGGAGCAGAGAAGCTGCTAATGCAGTTCCTGAAACACCAACTGGGATCCTGGGGACAACCATGCTGTTACTATCAGGAAGGTCATCATTATTGAGCTGATCCATCCATCTGCAATAAAAGAATCAACTGAACCATGCAAATAGCAATTGAAAACATAATATCAAACTCCAACATTAGACTCAATTACAGGAGGGTGACTCCATAAAACAAATCTTAGCAACATTTATCGTATCATTGAATAGGTTCTGCGCTTAACCGCAATTATCATAAAAATTCGATGCCCACCCCCTCCCCCCATAATAAATAAATAAATAATCTTCAGTTTTCTTCCCTCTAATCATAAGAAAAAATCAGGAAGTAAACCCCAAAGCTTCTTCTTTAAATTGAAAAAACCATTGCATTGAAATCCCATAGTTGGCACATTGACAAATGCAAAAAGAACAATTAGAAAATGAAAACATCATAGACAATTTCAAAAAAATGGCCTCCCCTCTTAAACATGACCCATCAATTAACGAAATTAAGCCTCCTCTTTAAATTATTGGGATTTAACGCAATGGGATGGACAAAATCCCTCATGTTACAAGCATCTTACATACAGCATATAAGATTGAAAAAAAAAATTATATAAGATAAATAAGCCCATGTAATGGGACTACAAATTCATCCATGAATGCAAACACAGCCATAGCAACAGCAATGGCATGCAATAGCCATGATATTCAAAAAAATACAACATACCTTTCTGTTGTAAAACTGTTGAGAGGAAGAAGATTCAGTTCATTAGCTTTCCTGCTAGTTTCCATATCAGCTTCACACCTTTCAAGTTTGCCTTTCAAATCTCCAGCCTCCTATAACAACCAAAAGGAAAACCCATATAATGAACATAAAAGCACTCAAACAACTTCATTAAAAAACTAAACACTGTTTTCTATTCTACAAAAAGAAAAGAATGGTGAACAACAACTGATTACATTCAAAGAACAAATGGTAATTACTGAGAAGACAAATGGAGTTGAAGCATGGCCAAAATGAAAAAAGTTCTCTCAGACAGTAAAGTTGACAATTCTATAACTGATGTTTCTTTCCCAAAATATTTGTCCAAAAGAACTAATCAAATTAACACTCCGTATCTAGCTACAACCAGAAGCATATTTCTGAACCAGGGTCAATCCTCACAATTTAAGTTTTTAATACAAAACTGTGTTGAAATTCTCAAAATACAAGAGGCAAAGGAAGGGGATCTACATCATGGTTTACAACAAAAAATAATGAAATGTCAACAAAAGAAAAATAAAGCAGAGGATGTGAATCAACTACCATGAATATTAAGAACAACAATGAAACAATTTGCAAGTGAGATAGAACATCAAATTGACACTTCCAGACAAAATGAATGGACAATTTAAATATCCTGTTAAGTTGATCAAAAAAATTTCCTGGTTAGAAAGCAAAGTAACAGAAACCATACCTTCTCTAATTGTTTTCGTGCAGATACTTCCTTCTCCAATCTCTCTTTGTAGTCATTTTCAACTTGACTCAAATGAGTCTGCTCACAAAAGCAACAAAACAGTAGCATACAGAATCAGTGCAAGCATATTCAGTAGTTCATATGATCAAATTCAACAAATCTGTAGAAATAAAATCTCACCTCCAGAGCTTTGATCACGCCCTCGAGCTCTCCTGCTTTGTGAGACCATTCCTCAGAGCTTTCTTTGTACAATTCAACAAGCTTATTTACCTATATGGTTGGGAAATAAAGATTAAAAAAATAAGATTCAATACCTTATAAGCAAAACCGTCTTCATTTCATTATCAAATGCAAGACGCGATGATCATCACAGATTGAACCAAAATTGAAACTTTAACTAGAATTATGAAGCAACCAGGAAAGTTCTAAACAAAAAGTGGGAAGCCTAGAGTTTAAAAGGTCTTGAGGAGTAGACAGTAATCAACTCCATTTATAAAATCCTTGAACACATCAACTTAAGATTAATTGCGTAATATCACCGTACCCCATGTTTGAAGTGATACTCTTTCTTTTCTTTAATATAAAATTCACTGAGATACCAACCAAAGAAGAACATCCAAACTAGACAACAAGCATAATACAGAGAAGTGCCTATAAAAAATAAGTTTTCACAAGCAGAAAGACAATTGACTGGACAGACAACAGAAGGAAATAAAGTAGCAGCACTTATAAGGTATTAGATGGATCGCAGATTTGCTTCCTTAAGGAAAGAATGCCAGGGCCAGATACTAAAAATACAAACAAAGAGTATAAATAAATAAAACTTGAAAGGGGGAAAATCCCGACTACAAAATTATGTGGTCTCTATTCAATCCCAACTGAGCTAACAAGATATCCACAATTGGTAAATCAGTACCAAAATTCAACTCAACCCTCGTAATTGAGAATTTAGTCTCTCATCAGCTTAAAACAAGATAATGAAGGCAAGTCAATATTTTCTCCCAATATTCCATATGAACAAAGCTATAAAAGAAAAATAAGTCGCCGAGATCACTCTTTCCTGTTAAAATTGCAACCACAAAATGTCATGTCACAGCTAGGGTCAAGATGAAATACCTAAAAAAGGTCTTAAAACTTAAGATTGGTGTCTAACTTTAGATACCAAGTCTTATACAACTACATGTGCTGAACCCTAATGCATTACCCCAAAACAATCAGCATTCATCAATGTTGACATCTTCACAATCACTGCTCAACATTGCCAATACCACCACTCTCCCACTTGCAGCTCACATCTCCCCAAAGCCTTTGTATCTGATCATTTCTAACGACTCTTTCACTGCATCTGCCGCAAAACACCCCACTCCTACCCCTAGCCCCCGCTCCTTGGAATAAAATACAGCAATTGAAAGCAGGTAAAGCAACAAAAAACTTCTTTAAGTCCTCTATTTTTTATAATCATAGACTTCAAAAGTTTCAATTACATCATCTCTTTTGAATGCAAACAGAAGCGGACTTCAACTATTCCACACACAGCCCCGATGCCAAAAAAAGAAAGAAGAAAGACACTCGATATCAAAAAATTATAATACTTACTGTTGAGAGTTCAGCAGACGATCGCTCTTCATAGGCTGCAGCAGCATCTCTAGAAGAGCATAATTCCTTCACAGGTGACAAGACAATTGGTGAGTCAGCTGACACGAAAGCAATTACAAGTAATATAAATTTTATATGAGAAATCTAAATTATTGGACCTCTTGTGCGGATGTCAACTTCATTTCTAACTCCTTCACCCTTTCCTTGCTCTGTTTCAAGGAACTAGAGGATTCATTGAACTGTCGCTCTGCCTGAAAGAATTTAAAAATCATTCAATGAGATTAGATACAGCAAAGAAAATGAATGAATATATATCAAGAGCAAAGAACTAGGAAGAACATATTAAACTCAATTACATCCACAAGCTTAGCAGACATATCCTCCTCAAGATCAGCATGCGTTCGGCGCAACTCCATGAGAACATCAACTTTGGCAGTCAACTCATCATTTAGCCATGCATTATGCCTCTCAATAAGTTCTTTCTCCTGCTCACATGCAGACTTTAAACAGTAAATGCCTTGCCACTCCAGACAGACTGAAGGTAAGACAATTGAGTGCACCAAGAAAATCAATATATGTGCAGAAAGCCAGAAACATTAGAAACGGATGGCTAGATTCATTGAGAGAAGAATGAAAACAACAGTGAAAAATGTGCATATCAAGCCACCGAGGGAAGTACTTTATTTCTACAAACACAGAAGAAGAGAGAAAAGCCAAACAAAACTATGCCATATCTATTATGGCTTTGCCAATTTGCCCCAATGGCAGGAAGGTGAGCCAATTTGAGTCCATACACAAAACAAACCTGCAAAAGACGAGCACAAGTAGCCTGAGAACGGGCCAACTCTGCCTCGCGTTCACTTAAACGAGCCTCCTTATTTGCTACACGATCAGTCAAGTGGACCTTCACAGCCATTAGAAAAAAAATGTTAAGGCTAAGTTATGCCAACATAATCGCAAAGCCAAATAGAATAACAACCAAAAGCATCTTACAATCTTATCAAGATAGCTGTTGATAGTAGCATTCTTCTCACTAATCTCCAAATCCTTCTGCTCCACTAACTCAAGCAACTGCCTCTTCGACTTGTGCAATTCCGACACCTCAGTCATCAACCTCTCTATCTCCCCATCCTTTCCAATCTACAAAACAGTCAATAAATAATAACCCTAAAAACTCACCAAAAAAAAAAAAACAAAAAGAAACATGAGAAAAGAGCATAGGCATTGCGAAGTTAAACTGAAACTAAAAGCAGGGGTGCTTACAGATTGCAAGTGAAGCTGATGCTTCTGTGCCTGTGCCTGAGCAAGTTCCGAGAGGCGGTCATCGAGAGAGGACTGAAGCTGTGCGTTCTGAGACTCGAGCTTCGAGAATTCTGTAGACAGAGACAAAAACTTCTGTTCGAGAAGCGAACAAGTTTGTTCCGCCGTGATCGCCGCCGCATCGGCCGCAGCTCTCACGGTTTCGAGTTCGCTCTGCAATCCTCTGATGAACTCGTCGGCCTTCGCGGCCACATACGATGCGTCATTCGCGTGGCGCGCGAGGTCATCGTCGGTGATAAAGAAGGGCATGGCTATGCCCTAATTGAAAACGGAAACGCAATATAGATTATTTCGATTTTTGGTGATTCCGTAGAGAAAGAGAGAAATGAAGGGTTTTGATTCAAATTTGTGCCCAGAAGGTAGAAAATGCGAGTGGAAGGGAAGGGAAGGGAAAGGGGAGGGAATTTAAGTGGATCTATCTTTACTGAAAGAAAGCCCTATGCTGCTTGTCGGCCTCTATCAACCGGTGTGGGATTTTGGATTTGAAATGGGCCGGGATTATGAACTTCTGGAGTATTTTCTTACTGCTGGGCCAGGATGTATGGAAAACTAAACGTGGACCCAGTTTGATTTACACGTAAAATAATTTCCTATAAAAAAATTTACACGAGGCATTTTTTTTTTTTTATGTTTTTGATAAGTAATGGTATGAAAAATTTAATAAAACCGAAATGTTAGTAATACGATAGTCTTAAGCGGCCATGGTGGTGGTCTGTCGATAATGTGTGGGTATACGGATGGTGGTGGTGGTGGCAGGGTGTTTACAGCAGAAAATTGATGATGGTGGAATGACAGGTTGAGGTTGTGATTGAAGTCCGAAAGATAAACTAGTATGGGTGAATTGGATTGTCTATAGCTATATATAAAAGCATGAACTACTTTAAAAAAAAAAAAAAAAAAAAAAAATTGATTGGCTATTATAAACTTAATACACAGCTTAATGGCAAAAATTGATTACATTCTATTGTAATTTGAAAATTTTAAATTTTTATTACCAATTTGCATAATTTAAACCCTATATAGCAATTTTGGGACAAATGCTATCAAAATTCCTTTTTTTCATTTCTTTGTAATGGTCAACCCATTTGACCGTAAAACAAAATGCTTAAACGACATCATTTAAGCATTCTGCTATTAACTTCTTCTTTTTTCTTTTTGTTGTTAATTTTAAAAAAAATTAAAAATTGATTAGATAGTGATAGATTTTTTATTATCTAGCTCACTTTAATTTTATTTATTTTTTACTAATGCTTTTCGTTCATTTTTCAAGAGATGTTTATTTTTTAACCCATTTACCTATAAATAAATAAAAAATTATTATATTTATCACTAAATTTTTTTTTATTCTCCCTCGAAAAGGGCTTTTACTTCTGAATCAAATTGAAAAATAATAAATATGAGTGCATCATCTTTTGTTGGTCAAAGATTATTGTCCATCCATCACCATTATTAATATCAAGATTAGCTTTCAAATTCTTCAAAAACCATTACCAAATATTAAAAGATTTCGTACCAAGTACTGCCCAAGCAATTGAAAATATTTGGTTGTTCCCATCACTATCAATTGATGATAAAAGCTACCCTTTACACACTCGTCTTGAGAAAACATTCTCAACTTTTATAACTTTTCTACAGCCAACGAAGAAACCTTTTCTCATAGCATTCAAATGCAATGTACATTGTCTCAAAAATTAACATCAATTATGGGTATAGTATGAAACTTTCACAACACAATCATATTGTACTTCTAAGATTATACCTTATTAGCTCACATTTGTAGTCTTCAAGTTTAGCATACCTTGACTTTGTTTCACCCTCGATTTGCTCCATCACCCTTTTTTAAGCTTTGCCACATTTTGACAAAAAAAATTTCAGATCATATTTTTTCCTTACATTTCTTAATTCACAAAGTTTTATTAATGCTAGAGCTCTTAGTTTAATTAAACATATTGTTGGTCAACAAAGTACTTGTAGGTTTGCTATTATATAAAGAATGCATTGATGCTTGTCAAGGTAAGTTTTTACCTTGAAATCATATGAGTTCCTCTCATATGATGTATATATTTTTCAATTATATTTTGGAGTCTTACACGTTACCCTCACCATAAAATCAGTATTCTTCTTGTGTTTAAAGTCACACTTCGAAGAATTGAATGCTTGACCAAAGCCTTTTTAAACTAATTTGGATATTTAAACAACTATGTCAAGGTAGAAATAAGGTTTCTCTTCTTTTGCATCATAAATTTCTTCATAACTACAATTATCATTTTCGAAATCTAATCGAGTCATGTATCCTAGATCAATATCTAGGACCCTATAACCCTTGTTGCCAGTGACCTTCCCAATAATCTATTTGTTGCTTTTTCTAATACTTGACTTTTAAACTCTCTTATGTAAAACTTCTTCAAATTCACCCTTATGTTTTTCACATCATCATCATCATCATCGGACGGACAATCAACATCAATATGGACCAAATTAGTTTCATCCACTTCAAAAGCTAACTCATCAAGATTTACATCATCTTTTTCACCACTCTCATCAATATTTTTAACGTTCACTCCATCATCATTGTTGACTTCACCGTTAACTTCGTCATTAATATCTCTACATTTTAAGCTTTATTGTTGACCTTAACATCATCATTACTTTCAAAACAAGAAGAGACTCTCCCGTTATCCCCATATGTCCTACCAACGAAAATCATAATCTATATTCCCATCCGCATGCTTATCTAGCTTCACATAGCATTGCTTAGTGTAATTTCTTACCTCAATGAAAGCATATACAATATTATGCCCCTTCAAAAACTTAATTAACTATATTATGACAAGATCATAATCCAAAGGAAAAACTCCTTTTCTATTCCACTAACGAGGATTTGAGAAATATACACATCGGGAATATACTTAAACCTTTTTTCTTTGGCAAAATCAACTATGCCCATGTACACAAGTCGGCAATATTTTTAACAAAGTAAATAACTTTTCGACCTTTCAAATATTCAAATTTGGTATCCTTGACAAATTGTCCACGATATTGAAAGACAACTTTGGATATTTGTTTGGACTGGTCCCCTACCACTATGACGATAAACCAAAATTGAATGCATAAAAAAAATAAAAGAAATTATAGACGAAGACAGAAATAAAAGAATTAAACCTAACAATAAACAAACCATTACAATAAAAAAAATACCTATTCTAAATATCTCCATTTCATTAACTTTCAATTCTCACAACTATGTCCTTCTTAAATGTTGTTGTCGGTATTTTTGGATTTTGAATTCGAGGTACAGGATGATAGAAAGAGAGGAAGGTGAAGTTAGAAAAAATATGTGTGTTTTTGGGTTTTGATTTTAGGGTTTAAGATGATAGAAATAAAGGAAGATAAAATGATGACTCGTCATGTTTTTGGGTTTTGATTTCGGGGTTCAAGATGACAAAATGAGAGGAAGGTCAAGTGAAAAAGAAACTTTATGTTTTGGGATTTTGAATTTATGGTTCAAAATTTACAGAGAAGATAAAAAGGGAAGAGAGGGAAGAAACTAGTTAACTTATACAAAAGGGAAGAAAAAGCTGAATGAAAAATTATAACTAAAAATTTAAGAGAAAGGTAAAAAAGGCCAAAAAAGTCATTTCATCTTCCAAGTCAACTACCACGTCATCTATTGATGAAAAATTAGACATAATAACTTGATATACTCAAATGAAGAAAATAAAAGTTGATACACTCAATTGAGAAATGGTATAAAGTTGATGTACTTAAAATGTAATTATCTCATTGATGATGTGTTCGTTGCCCCTCGGATACCAAATAATTTCTTTTTTCTTTTTATTTAAAGGAACTTTCTCCCTAAATGCTCATAAATAATGAATCTTCTTAATGAAAAATCTCACGTTTGTGTTTTTCTTTGAGTTTTATGTCCAAATCTAACTAAGTTTAGTTTAGAGTTTTATAGATAAAAAATAGTATTTAATTTTTTTTATCAAATTTCAAAATAGTTGAATAATTTAGAAAGAAAATTCCCTCTAACAAATTAAAAGAGGGTAAATCTATAATTTTGTCTTATATAGATAACAAACACTTCATTAGGTAACGAAAAAAGCTGACAAAATACGTAATTTGTAGTTTTTAAAAGATTAGTTTACTGAAAAAAATCCATGTACTACATTGAGAAAATAAGGCAAAATTATAATTTGGTAGTCGATGGTAACAAATACGTCTTCACTTAATGGAGAAATTGACGAAAGTGTTTGAATTCTAATTTTTTTAAATTTATGTACTCAAATGAAAAAAAATAAAAGTTCATGTAGTTGATTGAAAAAAATTTAAAAGTTCGTTTATTTATAAAACATTTATCACATATGTGTATGTATGCAAGGTGGAGCCACATTGATTGGTCGAGCCATAACACCTCAACATTTTGGAAAATTTTACACCTTAGTTTTAAAATAGATTTTTCTCACATTTAGATCCTAAATTTCTAAAAAAATTTTGATCAAGGCACTTTATTTTTTTTAACTTGATTGAGATCTTCTATTCTTCGAGATTTTTTACTTCAAACCCTTAGTCATAACATCACCAATCAATAATCGACACATAGCATTATAAAGTAAGAAATTTGGAAGAAGTGTCGATCATTAGTTGATGACTTTATAAAAGATGGTCCGAAATAAGAAATCTTGAATAGTAGAATATCTTAATCAAGTAAAAAAAAAAGCTGAAGTCTCACTTAAAAAAATTAAAAAAGTACAGAGTTTAAATATAGAAAAAATTAGTTTTAAAATTTTGAAAGTTTTTAATTACACTTTTTAATTCTATATGCTTCGCATTCAAAAATCAATTATTTTCTTACACGTCTTTCCAATTTTAAATTTATAGTTTGACATTTGTATATATGATGTATATATCTTTATAAATGTTACTAATCGATATAACACTCTTCTTCTATATGGTATTATAGTGTAAAAAATGAGTCAAAATTCCACCATATAACTGATTAAATTCACATGTTATCTTTCACATTGAAGTTTAAACTTCTAAAATCATACAAAATCTTTCTTCTATCCTTCTAACAATGAGAGTTTTGTTTTGTATCTATTAATTTTTCTCTCTACGCGCTTAATAATTTTGAAGTTTGTAATTTGCAAAACAAACTTTTTGCATCCTATGTTTGTGGCAAATGTTCATCCTACCCTCTAAGTTTCTAATTTGATCCTAATCAATATTGTTTGAAATATTGGTCA